ATAAAAAATGGAATTTGTTCCGCAATTATTCCCTTGCATTGTATTCTAATTTCAATTTTTCCCATAATGTTGATGGTATCGTTGGTAAACCCGCAGTATAAATCAAGAGTCTTCTTGTCTACTGGGTGGATTTTTAAATGCGGGTTTCTCAATTTCAGTTCATGCAGGACGTTTTGCTTAAGGAAGCTTACTGGACTCGCCGAATCTACTGGAATGTTCAGGTTAATTATCGCGTCGTCTCCCAGTCCAATGTTAACCAATTTTTTGGCTTCCATACCATTGGTGTCATAGATGGTTCTGATGTTAAGAACGGAATAATCGTCGTTGTCACTGATCCCCTCTTCTGTCCAAGCCTTAATCACGGCACAAAAGTTTTCTTCAATTCTTGCTTGTGGGTCTTCTGGGGAGAATGAACAATTCTGACTATTTAGAACTTCTTCTACAGTATTTAAAATTGAATTTTGAAAGATTTAATGGGATGCAGCCGCTTGTACAGGACTCTAAACAGGAGTGATTAGAATTACAATTTCTAATTGTGTCGTTGACGTAGTTAAGAATATTCGAGAAGAACGACCGTTAGATGGATAGCGTTAATTTTTTCTTTCCGCACATTGGATTTTTGTAATCCAAGTTAGTATTAGTATTTACATCCACTGGATTGTACAATTCGTTCTTTGTAAAATTTTTCTTTTTACAATCAATATTTACAGAGAGATTATCTACAACCTTTTTTACTGTTGCCACTACAAATTCGTTATCGTAGTGTGAGGTTGGAAGGACTTTTGCTAAAGGTAATCTCGACGATAAATCTGTAAATCCCATGTCTTTTCCTGGTATGTGTTTGATCTTCAAATTAATTGGTAAAAGTCGATTTACCCAACGGGTCAGTGTGCTGTGCATAGTTTTGTTACTTTGGTTAGCGTTTCAGGCTGATAACAATGCCTTGTCGTCCGTTACAATCTCGACTTGGTGCCATACAAGTAGTTTTTAAAATATTCTGTAGCCCAAATCACTCCCAACAGTTCTAATTCGTTAGTAGAATATTTCATTTCATGACAGTTTCAAAATCGAGAAGCGAATGCTTTTGTTAACCAAATTTTCGCGACCCATTGTTCTTATGTGGCTCCTAGAGCACTCTTTGAAGCGTCTGTTTTTAATCTTGACATCTTTCTTATATCGAAATGATTATTCCCTGTAATGTTAACGATCTCTTTCTTTAATTCTTCGAAAGCCTTCGTGTGATCGTCGTTTCATTGGTAAACTGATTTTTTTTTCTAAAAGTGGGCGTAGCGGAGAACTTAGGTTTGACAGGTTCGGGACGAATTTCATATATTGGTTGATCGAGCCGAAGAATGACCTTAATTCAGATAAATTTTGGGGTTTGGAAGGCTTTTTATAGAATCTGATTTTCCCACCAATGGTTTCACCCCCGAGTTTGATATCTTGAATCCCAACCACTCTGTTTCTTCTTGAAAAAATGCACATTTCTCCCATTTTACTGCCATATTCTTGTTGTCCAAGATGTTTAAAAATTTTGCTCGTATCGCTTTGTGTTTGTTTAAAGATCTTTTTGAGGCTATTAAAATATCATCGATATAACAGTTGGTAAAAATAAAATCTTTCAGTAATGAATCCGTCACCCTTTGGAACTCGTTTGGCATGTCGCCTAGCCCGTAAAACCCCGTTAGAAATCTATAAGTCCCGGTGGTTTCACCACCTACGATACTAAAATTACATTGTTTGCTAGTGTCTGTGCATAATTGTAATTGACTGTACGCATTTTTTAGGTCTAAATTGCTAAACCAGACTTCCCTTGAATCTCTGTTAGAAAGTTGGAGAGCTATGTTGTCAATGAGCTCGTGAATGTTTGGCAATTGATATTTGTTCTTGAATATCTGGTCATTTAAGAGTTTCGAATCTAAAGCCAACTTGTTACTACTTTTTATCACTCTTTTTTTCTTTTTATCACTATTGGATTAATAAAGCAGTCTTCGTCACATTTGCTTAGTTTCACAATATGCCCCTCCTTTTCCATTCTATTTAATTCCACCTTTACTCGCCTTAAGGTGGAATCTTCTTCAATTCTTGCTTGTTGGTCTTCTGGGGAGAATGAACAATTCTGACTATTTAGAACTTCTTCTACAGTATTTAAAATTCCACCTTAATTCCACCTTTACCTCCACCTAGTAAATGCAGAGGAACTCTTCTGCCTTTGGTTTGGATAAGTTTGAACGGGGAGTGGAAATGAGTGATTTTTCTCTCCAATGGTATTTTCCCCACTCTGTTAAATAATCCTTTGAATTTATGGTATGGTACAAGTTAAGGATTGTGTCTGAATGATTGTTTGACTTACACGAATCTGGAAGGATTACGTTGTTGACAGGTAGTAGTGGTTGTCGTTGAGCTATTTCGATTCCTTTCGTGTAAATTATCGTTTCCTAAAATGATTCTCTCGTGTCCAGTGGCGATAAAAAATGGAATTTAATCCGCAATTATTCCCTTGGATTGTATTCTAACTTCAATTTTTCCCATAATGTTGATGGTATCGTTGGTAAACCCGCAGTATAATTCAAGAGTCTTCTTGTCTACTGGGTGGATTTTTAAATGTGGGTTTCTCAATTTCAGTTCATGCAGGACGTTTTGCTTAAGGAAGCTTACTGGACTCGCCGAATCTACTGGAATGTTCAGGTTAATTATCGCGTCGTCTCCCAGTCCAATGTTAACCAATTTTTTGGCTTCCATACCATTGGTGTCATAGATGGTTCTGATGTTAAGAACGGAATAATCGTCGTTGTCACTGATCCCCTCTTCTGTCCAAACTTAATCACGGCACAAAAGTTTTCTTCAATTCTTGCTTGTGGGTCTTCTGGGGAGTATGAACAATTCTGACTATTTAGAACTTCTTCTACAGTTTTTAGAGCGGGTTTTCTTTCTTTATTTTTACACAGTCTTCCAAAATGTCCTTTATATTTACAAATGTTACAGATTAATTCCTTCGCCAGACACACATTCAGGTGACCCTTGGTAAACGCATTCCGACATTTCATACAAGTATAAGATCTTTCTATGTTCAAACTTGGTTCCTTTTTTAAATTATTAAAATTTTTGTCTTCTCTACCGCTACTTCCTGTCGTGTTGAATTATCTAGTCATGTTTGTTAGTTTAAGATGGTTGTAGTAGCCTTTTTCGTCGATGATGACTTGGTTGCGTGCATCCACTGGATTAAGAGTTTCCGAAAGTAATCTTCGTTGTAAATCACAGTTTTTCATGTTGAAAATAAGTACATCTCTTATCCACTCCTGTTCGGCGTTGATTCCAATTTCGCATAATCTTGCCAAGTCTGATAGTGCGCCCCAAAATTGTTCATAGGATTCCCTGTCCTTTTGCTTTCTGCTTAGCAATTTGTATCGTTCAAACGTAATATTTGTCTGTTTGATAAAAACTGTTTCCAGTAGATCGAAAAATTCTTTGAAGGAGATTCCTAGGACTTTAGTCCTTGGATGTTTTTGAGCAAAAACTCTCTTTCCTTCCGTTCCTAGGGCCAAATATAAGATTGATCTTACTTTTTTATCGGCCTCATATCTCCTCATGTCTCCGAATTTTCGTTTGTCTTCTGCTATTCTTTTGTCCTCTGCGTGCTCGTAGACTCGCATGGTCTCTTTAATTCTGGCCTCCCTGGTTTTCCTCTGTGGTTCATTTTCTGACTCCTGGGCGCCTTCTAGGATAGGAATTGTAGTCTCCAGTTCCAATGGTTCATTTAGATTATCTATATCTAAATTCTATTTAGCAATGATAGCCAGATGAAATTGGTCTATCCAGTTGTTCCATTAGGTGGGTGGTTCTATCGTGTGATTTGTCCAAAAGGCGGGAATTCCCCGCAGATTCGAATCAGTTGATGACTGCGCCATAATAAAAGTACGCTAATACCACTGGTAACTATTCTAACTAAGCTAAGTTAAAAAGGTATAAAATAAGGTATTGACTTAAAACTGACCGATGTCTTAAAGAGCAACTAGTGACGCGAATTCTACTGGACTTCGTAGAGTAAACGTTAACTAGTACGTAATTAACACATAGAGGTCAAGGTTAAAACATACTAAAATACTAAATCACAACAGAAATTGATACTATTATCCTAAAATGCATAGTTTTGCAAAAATATGTTTTTTACCAAAACCTATTAGATTTACCAATACCAATTAAAGAGCAGTCGGAACATTTAAAGGGCAGTCGGAACAGTTTTGGCTGCTGGATTAACGAAATTCAATCATTATGTTTTAGCCAAATACTCCTTATAGGACAGTTTACGGGAATCGCAGTATTCAATTCTTTGCCCTATTACGAGCAGTCTTTTTGTTCCAAAGTTTGGAGTAAGCGACAGATTAAAGATGATTGGGCTGGTTTTTTTCCAACTCAGTTCCGATTTTTTAAGTTAGCATTCATGTAGAAAGATTGATATCACTTGGAAAAAAAAGGTTAATTAAGCGCACCTTTTAAAATCCATTTGACCAGAAACTTTTGTTGATGAAACTATCTAGGTTTTTTTGAAAACTGATAAAAGTCTAAAAAGGTTTTGGTAAGAGCAAACAGCTTACCTCAATTCAGCTTGGAAAAATTTAATTAGCCGCTTACGTTTTAATAGCACAAATTATATCGAGCGTTAGGTTCCCTAAGATGGCCAATTTCCAAACCTCCATAATTCTAAGACAATTATTAACAAGTAAAATATCTTTCAATTTCGATTTCAAGACACCAATACCTCTCAGATAAAAAAATCGCGTCAAAAACGGCTTGTGAAAAAGTTGAAACTTGTTCGGAGAAAAAACCATCCTGAGATCAGATATTCCGTCACTTTTTTTTAAAGTCGAACCAACAAAACTTTGTCATGTCATAATCATTGGCTTCAAGTTTTAAGCTAGCTTGTTATTTGAGATACCTTTGCCAAACATCTTATACGTCTTTATGACTACTATTTTTCGCATTAGTTCTATATATGCAATTATAATTGATACCAGCGCATGCCATTCTAATGATCAAAACCGCGCTTTGATAAGTCTTATATATGTACTGAGTTTTATCGTAATTTTTTGTCATAGAGATTTTTGTGTTCGTTAACAGTGTTCATTATTTCTATCAATTGAAGTTTTGACAACTTTAAATTTGAAAATCGTTTTTCGACCGGAGGAAAACCAACAAGGTACTACTATGAAGATAGCCGTGCTCATAGAATCAAAAAAGTATTCTGCTGAGTATTTCGAATCAAAACGTGAATAAACTTGAATCATAGAAATAATTTACTTAGTTCAAAGCAAAAGAATTTTTTTAATGCTAAGAGTCATTAAGTTTATCTATTTTAACTCTTAAATCCATATCGGACAGATTTTTTGGTAATTTACCTTAGATTTTCTACATAGTGAAAAACAACAGACTCGTCTGTCATAGTAGTACCATAGTAGCGAAACAAGACAGAAGAAAAAGCTGTGAGAATGGGTTTGGACAAGACTAAAGTGATCAGGAGCCACTACGACAGGAGGGTCGTGTCAGATAACGATTGCAAGAAAGTGGCAAACATGAAGAACCTCGACGATGACACCTTCACTGTCATCATTGACATTTTCGTGGTGAGATATTTTCTGAGAGTAAGATTTGCATTTTAGAATGTAAGCACTGAAGTTAGATGCGAGGCTAAAATATATTGTCTGAAAATTCAAGCTATTGAGTAAAGGCATCTGGAGTTTCCTTGCTGGGGAAATCTCTGCACTTCCTGCTCTGGCCGACAGGAGCATCCACGAACCCTGCCAAGAAGCCTAAGAATTGTTTGTGATGCTTTAACGAAAAACAGTTGTAACCAATTTTCTAATATTATCTTATCAACTGAATATGCACAATTTTTTCAAAAACAGACCAGAGGACACCTGGGCAGAATCTTTCCAGAAAAACCAGGAAACTAACGGTTTTGTAAAAGTTATCTTGCATCGAATCATTTTTACTTGATCTGAATGAATAAAAATCCAGCATCTTGATACAAGGAATGTCTACTAACATTGTCTAACATCGGTCCAAGATGCTATTTTTCAATAAAACGGCACAAAGATGAAAACATTTTCGTTCATTTTATCGCTTGAAATTTTTCCCGTGACTGTAGAATCATTCAAAAAACACGATCCGAGAAAATCAATATTTTTTCGATTACATTGCTATAAAAAATCCGCTGATTTCATTTTGTAAGTTCGAATGGTCGACTTGAGCTGAAAAATTGTAAAATTCTTCTTCACATGTATCCGCATTTTTTAATTCGGAAGTGTTTATAACAAGATTTTAGTGAATACGAGATCTTATATTTTAAATGATGCAGACTTTACTCAACTGGTTTTTCAATAGGGGGATAAGAATGATTAATATTGAATTAAAGTCTCAGATATTTAGAGCATTCATTAAGCGAAAAAATAATACAAAAAAAGTTCTTGAAAGTGGTTCTTGGTGACTCGATAGGGCGCCCGTACGCCCAATTTTCAAGATTGCCACACACAATTACGTTCCAATATTTTCTACTGTATCATGTTGTTATAGAACATATCCGTTATATTTGAGTTTCTCTTGGGCAATATTCATGTTTGATAAAACCTACTTGATTGTAAGTTTTTTTCTTTTTCTTCTTTCTCTTCATCTTTTTGCTTTTTCTTCTTTTTTTGCTTCTTTTTTATCTTCTGTTGACTGTGTAATTCAGCAACTAGACTGCAATTTTTCAAGGTTTGACTTGGTAATGGCAGTATTGTGTGGTTTAGCAAATGGACACGGACAAGGGCGGCTCAATAAGTGTCAGTGAGTTACAGAAGGGGTTGTCGTGTGTGGGCGTAGACCTCACACAGAAACAGTTTGAGGAGAAGATGGCCAAGTTTGACCTTGACAGTAAGTAATCTAGCATTCAAAGAGATATTCTCAGGGCCAGGAGGCACGAATGACAGAAACGTTGCAACCAATCAAAATACTTCTGTCCGACCGAAGCTCTTCAAAGTATTGCTACAAGTGACGAAATTGATACGATTTCTTTCAGACTGTCAAATGAATTCGTGTTCGTACTGAATTAATAGCAGATCATGATACGTTTCGGTCATCCGATTTTTCAGGCAGGAAGACTCGCCCTCGAATTTTAGTGTTTGGGACCATTTAAAGATATATACTACTTCCAGCATATTAACTGTTAAGCAAATTAGGGTAGTCATCTGAAACTTCTTTGAGAGGTTGAGCTGTATTGATTTCAGGTAATGGGTTCCTGGACATTGTGGAGTTTACAAAGTACTGCATTGATGCGATGGGAGACAACAAGGACCCCAAGGGCAACTTGATGAAGGCACTGCAGAAGTTCGATAAAAAGAAAGTCGGATACCTGAATGACTCACAAATCATGTGTGTAAACTTACTCGGAAAATTAAATCCTTTTCTCCGCAAAATTTTAATTTCAAAGTTCAAATAGCATGAATTAATTGGGCCATGCTTTAATATTTACAACCACTCACAATAAAATTGATGATCAAGGGAGTTGGAGGGGGAACCGGATATGGCTGGTTACTAAATTATAGCTGCTCACAGATAAAGGAAATAGTTCTATAACAAAATGGTTTTCGATTTAAAAAAAAAAACATTTTAGAAACAGTCTCAGAAAACAGTCAATGTCCATTTTTGTACATGTTTTCAATCGTGTTATCTTTTTTTAAAAATCAAAATAAGTATAAGTTTTTTTGACTGATTGATTGGTTGATAAATGGTACCACAATAGTAAAACAATTACATTTTCAGATCCCAGATAGTTATACAGACTTTTGGGATATGAAATGTTTTTACGACCGCGTCTAGTAAATTATGAGCAATGACATCGATTAGGAAAATTTAATCTACTTTATTTTTCTCTGGCGATTTTCTCGAAAGAACTTCTTTTTTTTTCAATTCCAGTGAAATCCTGTCCTCGCTTGGAAACGAGAAGATCAGCAAAGATGAAGCCAAGCAGATAGTAAAAGATGCCGACAAGAACGGAGATGGGAAACTGCAGATAGAGGAGTTTGCTGACTTCCTCCTCCAAGACACACCCCAGCAGAAGGGCAAAAATAAGTAAAACAGAGAAAGAGAGAGCTGGAAACTAAGATTGAGAATCAAGTCTGAACATTTCGCCTACTATGAAACTTTGTTATTAAGAACGCATTTTTAATGAATCGCTAAATAGTAATAAAATTTGTGCTCTTTGATCAAATGAATTGCAAAAGCCATTGTTTGAGTTAGAAAGGGAGAAACAGGTTTTTATTTTTTAAAGTGTCGGTTTGTATTCATTCTGACTGCCCGAATGAAACTTCTTATCGAATTACTGGAAGTATCCTATTCAATTGCTTACAGCCGATGATCTTAATCTTAAAGTAAATATCCAAAAAGTGTCTGTCCACAGGTGAGAAATGGTGTGAATTTTTCTTTTGTCTTGTTTTTCGCCGAATAATCTTACGACTATGAGCCGTATGATACACTGGTTTAATAGCGTCTTTTCAGTCTCGTCAATTTGCATCTCTATTTGATTAAATGAAACTTCGGTCTGCATTTTTACCCAAACCCCTAGATGTCGGAAGGAACTACGGCATCAGGTGTTTTGAAAAGTACAAAATTGAGAAATTGAGTTACATAAAAACAGTTAAAACAATCAAATTGTAGCAGAAAAAGGTTCAAATTGAACAACAAGTAGCTAATTTTAGTTTTAAATTTAGAAAACACTTTATGTGCTTGGAAATTCGAATCACAAAAAATTGGAAAAATCAGTTATCATGTAATTTCATAGTCTTTATTAATAAAAGTGAAATAAAATCGATTAGATTTGATTTGCCATGAATTTTAATGCTTTTTACGTTTGCGATAAGCAAGCGTTATCAAACTGATGTATAGACTTTTTTCGAAATAACAATCTAGTGTAACAGAATCACTTGAATGATTTGATAGCCTGCTTTATTGATGCAGGTAATTTTCATCAAAATAAGGGTCCAGTAGCGGAGCGTGTCCATGTCGCGAAGGATCAAGCATTCGAATCCGAAATCATGTCAGTTTTTCTAATACTGGCAACAATGTTCAAACTCTTAAACAGGTCGCGATGATTTGTTTTTTTTTTCTGGAATAGTCTTAAAATTTGTTCAGGTTCAAATTTACTTTTTCGCTGTTTGACTTTGGATTTTTTTTTCAACTCAGTTCATTTCCTTTGACAAAAGGAAGGCAAACTCCACTATCGAACGTAAAAAATACGAAAAACGTCATCATTTTTTAATTTTGAAAATGTAATTTAGTAATCAGGTTTCCCAGTGGAATAAAAAATTTACCTATTGATCAGTTCTCTCAAATTTGGTTGGCTTTAAAAAAGTGCTTGTTTTAAATTTTTATAAAAATTCGAAGATTCTCAAGTCCATCTGTTTTTTTATTCAAAATTTGAAGATTGAGTTTTTTTCGAACACAAGTCAGTTTTTTTTAATTTTTGCGTTCATGTCTCATTTCCAACTGTCTTTTGGCGATGTTCATTATAGTTGCAACTGTTGTTCACTGTCTTTTGAAACTTGAAACTTTTAAACTTTTTTGTACAAAATAAATTTTTTTCGGCTCAAATGGTGTCTGCTTAAAAATTGCCGGCTTTATTTTGCGCTTCGGCAGTTTTGATCCGTTATTAATATAAAATGCAAACGTTTTGCTCGGCATGTTTGCCTAGATTGAACTTTTATTGAGACTTACGAAAGTTTTAGTAGATCTGGTTTTATCGTTTTTTTTTTGTTTTTATAATGTTTTTTTACATCACTTTTTTGTTTTATTGCAAGTGATGCGAAGCTCCGCTTCGCTTCTGTATTTAAAAAAAATCAAATTAGTCCATTTTTAATCTGATCCATTATATTGTTTACTTTCATTTTTATGGGCATTGATGAAAAACGATTTTAACCAATTTTTGTTCATGGAACTCTAGTGCTGGATGGGCTTTTTTTGATTTTGCAAATTTACTTAACGAAAATTCATAAATTGATTTTCCGAGCTTTGATTATGGAATGTTTTGACCAAGTTTTTATTTTGTTATAAACAGTAGTGTGTCGAGGGGTTGAGGGGTTATAAACTCCTCTCCCCACGCCATTTTCAGTTCTGGTTGCCAATTTTTCCCAAAGGGTCCACATTTTGGTATGTTTTTACGACAAGCATTTTTCATTGACCATTCTCAAAAGCGTTCTAAAGGCGCCTCGGTGCCAAATAGTTAGGTTTGAGAAGGAAGCGAACTATTTTGGCCGGTTTTTTAAAAAGTGCTCAAGAATTTTTTTTTCTGCCTGTTTTTTTAAAAGTTGTCTGCGATGCAGAAACTTTTGACAAAATAGGGTCATTATAGTTTTTTCGGAGTGCTCTGAAAATCAAATTGGTCCAGAAAATTTTTCGAAAAATAGCCCCCCCCCCTAAAAAGGTTTCTGCGCATGCTACTGGTTTTTACCATGATAAATTTCATTGAATTAAACTAAACTTGTGATCAGTGTTTGGTAATTAAAACAAAATGTTTTTAATCATAAGTGTTTGGTAAATTTAGGACAAATTTTGAAAAAAATGATTTGATTAAACGATTTTTCAACAACCTTAAATGTACAAATTTTGTTAGAAGAAACTTGTTTTTTTTTAACTATCCTTAATGTAAGACTCAAGAAAATAAATGACTTCAAGCGCTACTTTAGGTTTACTTCGGACGTTACAAATGTCGTTCGTTTTGAAATGGTTTTTCCCTCATTTTCAGTATTCTGAAATAAAGCCTCGGTTTTGCTGGACAACAGCGTCGTTTTTAGTAACTTGGAAATCGATTCGTGAAGCTATGAACAGCTAAGGGCTTTAATAACAAAAAATATCAAATTATAAAGTTTCAATGTGAAACTGGGTAATTTTGGAATTGTCATTCGACTGTCGACGCAATTTATTTTTTTGGTCATATGTACGAAACGAATTGTTATTCAAATACGAATTTGAGAATAGTTAGTCTCCTAAGTATTAGTACTGATAGAAAAACCGTTTTGAAATATAGTTCGAAATTATTCAATTGTCAAAGGTAATTACTTTAGTAAAATTGCCAGTATTGAATGATTTTTGTTGTTGATAGTAGTATTGTATCGTGTCCCGGATTCTAAGGGGGGTGTCCTTCCTAAGGGGGGTCCTCACGACAAGCAAAATCCTAGGGAAGGGGTCCTTAATTTTTTGGAGGACCTTCATCCTAGGATTTTGTAAACGAAAGAATTTTTCCACCCAAAAAGCAGAAGACCCCCTCTTTATGATCTTGCTAAGCTTAGCTTAACAACAAGGGACATGATACAAAATTCTTTCTAATTCCAATTTTTGGGGTCCTAATTATTGGTCCTGGTTAATTATATGAATCATATGAATTGTTAAATTTGTTTCGGGCCAATGATTTTTCGACCTAGTTGAAATTTGTTAATGAACGGGGAATTGACTTTTAAAATATAAAATAAATTTTCGCCGGCGATAATGGTAGCGTAGCTTAACTGTTGGCAGCAGTAAACTAACTTCTTAACTTGACCTATATTTTATGGTGAAAAGGCCGTAAATTGAAATCACCCTCCAAAGTTTTAGAAAATGATAAATTTGGCAAATTTTGAAATGAGAAAAACAAAATTAGAGGGAAAATGGGTGTTTTTAAGATATTTATAATTAACTTACACAATTTAGAGGGTTTTCAACCATACAAAAAACTCAAAATTCCAAACCAGGGAAGAGCAGCATGCTGTGTTTCCCTAGAAGGCAAGGGAAGTTTCAATGGGAAAAGGACGAGTTGAAAAAGGAACAAAGGAAAGGAATATGAAAAAACGCACCGAGCTTTTTTCAAAAATTTTTGTACAGAACAAAACGGTTTCCGGTAGTTCATTAGGTTATTTACCACCGGAAACTAGAAAAGTCTAAAAGTATCTGCTAGGCATCTTTTATCTCCACTAGCTGACATTTAGCAGCTTGGAGAGGCGTTGGAAAAAACATTGAAATTGGGATAAACCGAGTTATTCCAACTGATTTAGAAATAATTCAAGAAATGTATACGTCCTTAAAACAAACTTATTATGACAGTTCTAGTCAAAGAAACTTCGACTAGCTTTTACTCATTCTTTGTTAGTTCTAATAACCTGGTGTGCAACCTTTCAATTAGGTTCAGACCTTACGGCGGCTTAATTGGTATGAAAAACTGTTCCTTGGAAAAGTACTTGTGTGAATCCAAGTTTTTATGATTGCACGCTTTGTTGAACGATGCTGCCGGATTTAAACATGAACTTATCAAGAGTGTCCAACTTACTAATATATGTTGTCCGGGAACTATAACCACGGCTCTCTGGGCCATTCGAAGGTAATGGTTTTCTGTCTTTTCAATAACTTGAAAAAAAAATTAAAGTCTATCATTCAATATTTTACCTGCACAATATTATGCAGTTAACTTTTGAACACTGGCAGTCTTTAGCTCTGTCATGTAAACACCACCATATGTCTACAAACTATCGATCTCCAACAAACTTACTTTTTACTCGGCTAGAATAATAATTTGATTTTGAGACCTAAATAACTAGAATTTTTAAAACTCTTTTTAGTTAATGGCCTTGAGAACGGTTTCACAGTTTGGATAGCGTCCAATTGAGGCGTTCAGTAATTCAAGTAATACTTGCTGACACTCTGGATTGACTATTTATCAAATGATTTATTTACTTACTTATTTTCTGGCTTGTTTATCCTTCACTTATTTTTTTTGTTCAACTACTTCCTCACTTATTTTACTTACTCTACCTAACTTTTATATTTTAATTTTCATTTACTTTTGAATTAACACCTTTTCACATGGCGTTTTTCCCTTTTACCTAATTACTGTCATGCTTTGATTTATTTTCATTGACTTAACTTTACTTTACATTACTTTGCTTAAATATACCTAATTTCATACTTACTTATAACTTAAAAACTAACTTACTATCACATTTCTTACTGACATATTAAATACATACATTTTGCATAGTTGTATACAAACATACACATATACTGGATACATACAGACAGACAAAACCACAAGCATATATCACTTTACTTTGCCTAATTTTACTTATTTTACTTATTTACTTTGCCATACTTCATCTTACTTTGTTTTACTGTATCTACGTACTTACTTACTCACTCACTTACTTACTTACTTAATTACTTACTTACTTACTTACTTACTTACTTACT